CAGTGTTACTTAATTTCTTAGATAAAAACGCGAAAATAACTGTAAAATTCTTGAAGAAATACCTGAAAGAGATTTACGTAACAGGTTATATACTCTTTTTTCCCCTGCGATTACTATTGCCTTGAAATTCGGAAGAATATCCAAGTTGTACTTGCATCGAATAAGGAACAACACAGACTTCGACGACCACATGTCCGATAAATAATTAACAGTTTCGCGACTATGATACACGTTTCTTAGGAGAACGAAGTGTACTGTCTTGTGAAGTCAGCTTTATTTACGGAAGCTGTTCAAACCGTCGATTATTCATTTCGAGACAAGCTTTACCAAGTTTGCACATCATTTTTGTGCTAGCACGTCACAATATTACGACACGTCTATTTTTAAACGGTGTATCACTTGTTGATATTCTAATTTCACAAGACATCGAATTGCACAGTCTCTTAGATTGGACGCGGTAAGAAAACAATTTGGTAGGAGTTTTCAGCTATAGGGAAATACGCGTGCATTGGTTCAGGCTGAGAACGCGGATCGTCGTTCCATTTTCGCAATGGAAACCACCGGAAGTCGTAAAATCTACAGTTAAACGTAACAGAAACTCGATGAAAAAGAAGAAATAGAGGCGTACGGTTCACCGGTCTAACGTTCAGCTTTGGAGTTCAAGATTTCCTAACGCATAGCTGGATAATTTGGTGTTGCGTTGGCGAACGAAGAAAGATAGATTCCAGGGCAGAGTGGCTGGCCATATGGTCGCGTCGAAGCATGATAAATCGAAGATCCGCGCCCATTCGTACCAGCCGCTGTTTACTCTGCTTCCTAGTTTCGGTTATTTCCCTTTCTATCGGGCGCATGTCTGTTTCTTCGAGCAGAAAGCGACAGGAGCTCAGCCATTAAATTAGAAGTCCGATAAAGTGTGCCGGAAGATGGATTGCTGGTTTGTCGTGCAATTAGAATAATCTTCATGTCGAGGATGGTTTCCTTTTCGAAACCTTATTATTATTTAGCATCTTGTCCTCGTTAAGTTTCCCGTTTGCGACTGAAACAGCGAGACGAATCTCTGCAATAATGCTAGGAAACTGGTGACGGCTACATGTTTTAGTGAATTCCTTTAAAGAATATGTAATTTCGTCTTCGTGCGTACAATCGCGTTGACATAATTCAGCCAAGACTTTTTGAGTAATAGCTAACCTGTCGACTTTGGAGCACGTGCTAATCCGTTGTAAAATTTCCCTTTTATCGGAGTGTAGCTAAATTCTCTCGTTTCCTACAGCCATAGTACGTGTAATAATGTTCACCTCTCCTGGCAATTGATTTTAATTTTAACGAGATCGTGTCGTCAACGTGCAATAATGACATCATTGGAATCGATGTTGAAAGCCATTCTATAGATCAATCGAGAATCGAATATCGAATAAGATTCGTGACTCACGGATACTCGGACCTTGCCGCGCGCACACTTTTGCGGCAATGGGTACTTAGCTGCAATTATCCGCATCGATAGGCTCGTCGATACGTACGTAGTCGATAATTGAACGAACGGATTAACTGGAGGTAACATATGCTCAAGTTTGCAGAGAGGATGAGTGCCTGTAACGGTTGCGAATTTATGATTCATTCTTGGCAATATTAATAACGACAGATAACGACGGAGGCTTAGACAGCGTTGTTATCGATTTCGTTGTTATTCGCGCATGATCGCGTATATCGTTTTCCACGGTGGGGGGAAAAGTATGGAGAGGCAATTTCCACGATTTTTCCACGCAACTGAGTAAAATGTTTTGCGATAGGCGTGGCATTCAATTCCTTTGGAAAGGATAGGAAAATCAGGGTATAATGATATTAGGTATTATGTTAATTTCGTTTCATTACACTTGTCAGGAAAACGAAAGCATGCGTTATATACCATACACTGGAGTAAAAGGTAACGAGTTGTAAAATGTATTAGAAGAAAGTGGAATCATCGAGGTACTTGTTCGCAAGTAACTTCAATGAAATTGCATAAGACTGTAGAATGATGTTAGAAATTGGCACGGATCGTATCTTTTTTCCAAGCGTGCGTAAAGAAAATTGGTAGATTGGTAGATCCAATATAATATTATTCTGAAGCGTAACGATGCGACTGTGCCACGCAATTATGCTTTCTTTTCGAATGAAAATGGGGAAAACGGAGTGCCTCGTAAACCATTCGATAACGTTATCTTACACTCTCCTCGAATAAGGATTGCGCGGAGGATCGTTGATTGCATAAAGTAGGCGCAGTTCCTTTTCAAGAAGGAAAGCAGATTTTACGTAAAGATAATCTTCGTTCAAAGTAGTTTCGTTTCAGTTTGGACGTTGATATATTAACAGGATATGTATCAACAACGGTGCACAGTTCCAGATAGTTTTTATTCGATACAATTCTAAAAATGCTAGTTTTTCTGTAGCCAGGGGAGATTGCTCCCTCGGTTGTTAGGAGATGCGAAAAATAGAATGCCCACGCGTGTTTGGGCGAGACCCACCGTTGGAAAAGGGAACGAGCAGCGTTTCCTGGTGCGTTCCGACGTGGTGTAATGTTCGTAGCATCATCGACGGTAAAATCGTAGCAATCGGGGCAACAGTCGAGTCGGGGAACGGAATGGAGATCCGTGAGTCACGGATCTCCTCTGGTCGCCTCGGGCCGTGTTGCCTTATTGAAAAGCGTGCCTCGTGTTCCTTGTTTCCTGCAGCGGGTACCACACGTCTCTCGTTTGAACCTTTTCAGCCTCTGTCCACAATCCCTGCGTGTACCCTGCTCGTTTGCGTACACCTATCCGTGTATCCCTTTTTACTACACCCGTTATCGTTTTCCCGCGCGTTTTTCGTTTCTCGCACCCTTGCCCATTCAGCAAGCGACTCCTTTCAATTCGGTCTCTCGAGACAGCGTGCGTCATAACGCGCACAAAGAACGGTCGGTTGCTTAAAAAATATCGCAGATGCAATTGATGTTGCAGAAAGTTGGGTTCTTGGAACGGATCAGCTAGTCTGTGCGTAATCGTCTGGGTACCTTCTCGTTTTAGAAGCTCCGCTGTTTATTGTCTTCGTCGTTAACATTCATTCGTTGCATCGAGGGAGCAGTCGCGGCAATTATGCCATCTTTTCGATTCGAAACCACGATGACTAATGCCGTTTCACAACGATCACCGTTCCGAATAAGAATTGAGGATACAGACTCTGCTCATTTCGATGGCCAAGTAAATGAAATTATTTTCTTCTGATTCTTCTGTTACGTTCCCGAGGTACTCCCATTGACCTTCGGCGAACTTTGGGGGATCGGCGAACTACAAGCCTTCGGCTTCGTTAGCGATCGGTCGATGAGTAACCACGGGAGACCAAGGCCGTACCTTCTAGCTCGATAAACTCCGCACCTAACAGCGCGATTGTTTGTTTGTGTGCACACCCGCAGTACACGGTTCTCCTTTCCTTTCGCGCATACATCAGAATTCGTACCGTAGAATCGTGCTCAAGATTGTGCCAATCGCATGAAAATTGGAGCGTTTTTCTAGATCTCGAGAGACCCTTTGTTTCGCGTTCTCCGGCTGAATCAGTCATAGTCACGTGGGACGATCGATCGCTCGGATCTCCCCGCCTCTCGATCTCAATGAACGATTGCCAGGAATGCATCGTTCCGAGAATGATAACGCGAATTACGTCTTACGAACGTGAAGTAACAACTGCATTCGTAACCGATAGTTACGTCTTTACAGTCTTTAATGCTCTTTCTCTTCCTTAATTAAAACGCGGCGACGATGATGTTACGCGATTATGCAGCGGAAATTTGAAATCCTCGCACATTATGATAAGCTTGTGCATTTTACATTTACAAAGAATTTTAAGTACGGATTACCATCGGCCTCGTAGCTTATATAATGAAAAATTTGCTCAGGTATGACTCTCGATCCCGAAGAAAAGCGGAATTCGAACGAATTCCAAGTATGTCGGGTGTGGACCTAGAAAGAAGGTCAATTTCTCGTAGCCAGGAGCAGGATCTGTATCTCTGTTCAACCTTTTCAGCCTGCGCGGTGACGAAAGCAGCTCCGAGCTTTTGTTTCCATCCGGCACCGTTACGAAACATCCAAACATTGTCCTTTCACCTGATTCTCGTGGGTTTCGACCCCGTCAGCCATAAATTCTCCAAGTAGGAGAGTGTCCCACGTGAGTCACTGGACGCTTCTTAAAATTCATCGAATGGCGTCGCGTCGGTGAAACCGGTTCGGAATTTCGAGAAAGGGTATCCACGGTATCCACTTTTTATGTTTTCGATATTTCGTTCAGGGACGTTTGCGGTAGCCACCGTAAAGCCGTCATGTTTTGAGGTCAAAAGTAGTCGAGCGATTCCAGCGGTGAGTCTACAAACGGTGTTGAGGTTTACCACCGCTGAAAACTGTTTATTTCTGGATTAGCGTTTTTGTGCTCGGATCGTCTACTCGAGCTCCAGGTAAGTTTGCTTGTTCAGGACAGAAACTGAAGTTATTCGCGCGTAAAAATATTTGTCTTCCCCGAGGTGAATCGGAGCAACGAAATCGAAATTGTTTGGATAGACTCTATGCTTGCGAGAAGTATGAATGACTTCAAGCTTTGTCTCGATGCATACATGATTGATGTGCTGACTGTCGAGTCGACGTATAAATGAATAAATTAACGCACGATACGCTAGGACGAGTCAAGGTTGATGCCAAATATAGGCAAAGGAGTATAGGTGGAATACCTCTATCGACTGCAGTGTCCGAACTTTTAAGAACCTAAATCGTTAAAGTCTATTAAGCGAGAGTTAACGACCTGATTGTGACAAAGAGAATTTAGTGTATAATTTACATCGTAATTTTGATCGGCTAGTCGACAGACCGAAAGCTGTTCATCTTTCGTTCGCTAGTGGAAACTTTTATCTAGATGAGAATTTTGTTTGCACGCTCAGTGGCTAGCAAATTGGCTTCCATCGATTTCTTAATGGTCTTAACGTTCGTTTCTGTTTGTTGCGACAGAGTCTAGAACAAGAGAGGCACCTACTGCGAAGAAGGCTGGAGGAAGTCAAGGGCGACAGCGAGGCGAAAACTTTGGAGCTCCAGGCAGACGTGGAGACGCTTAGGCGTCAGCTGGAGGAGCAGAATGAACGTGCGAGACGAGCGGAACGGGATCAAGCGACTCTCGTTACAGAGCTTACCGCTCAAAACTCGAGGTTCGCCGATCAGCTGAGGGAAGCAGCCAAACAGGAAGAACAGTTGCTCATCGAGGTCAAGGTGCTCAGGGAAAAGTGTGCCCTTCGAAGTACCACGCTCCAGGATCACGTCAGCAGCTTGGAGGTTCTCAGGGACGAGGTAAATTAACAGTTTCCGACTATAATAATGTTTAACGCTCTTTCAACGCGAATCTTGATTACTCGAGCTCGCAGGTTTTTCCTATCTCTCGGTTGTCGCTGGTAGCGTGCGGGTACCTGCAAATTTTGAGTCACGTAGGATATTCTAGCGTTCTTCGCAGTCCTCGAAATCTCACGGTATAAACCAAACAGTGGCCTTGGAATAGTGCTGTCATTGTTATAAAAGAAAACACCGTGTTTGCATACCTATCCGCAAATTAGTAAATGAAAAAAGTAAAGGTGTGTACGTCGAAGCATTGTCTAGAGAAGCATCGTTTCTCTCGTTCCGATTGTAGATCATTCGACTAATTATTCTTGGGAATCGCGTTTACCGTTGTATCGCGGATAACGTTGGGAAGAATTGAATAATTTATGGTCTCAACCGTATCAATGATTCCGCCTTTAACGAAGTACCGAGGAAACCTGACCGTGAGAAGTTCAGCAGGAGCGTGGAGAGCGAACACAATCGTGACCCTCGGCGATCGACTTCGACTGGCCGTCCTTCGCTTCTTACGCCCTTTGTTCTCTCCTTACAAGAGACGACGCGCTCTCGAATTTCAGGAAATGCTCTTCACGCATGAATTAAGTGCGTGCAATGCACGTTACGCTGTCTGCTCGTCACGTCAATGTTATCGATTGTGCCACGGAACGATGCAAACGGTAACTCGAGCGTCTCCGCGAGGCCAAAAGGTTAATAGTCAACCTTTTAAGGACTAGGTCGCAGTAGTGCAGACCGTGTCTGGGCGGACGGAAGTGGGGTGAAGATAGACGGTACAGTGACGGTACAGTGACTGACTTTAGGGAAAACGGAAACGAAGATAGGAATTGAGGGATGTGCATTGATAAGGAGGCAGCAGCATTTTTTCTAATTTTTGGGAAATTAAAAGAAACGTTTCAAAATTCAGATTTTTGAAATTTTCATTCTTTTTCTCTTTTTATTGCAGCATACCCCTGAATTTTTATATTACTCATAAACAACGACGAAGAAGAGTCCTGTTATGTCACCCAGTATCTGTTACCGTTCGGTGGCTACTTCGCGCGATATATCGAGGAAACAAAGTGGTACCAGTGTTGGTCGTATCAGTGTGCTAAATATTCGTAATAACAGTACGGAGATAAAAGCATACTGTAAAAGTTAGAAATAATATTTCTACATTTCCCAAGCAGACCTTTACATATTTGTATAATATGGCGGCAATCGTGCCAGCACTCCAAATAATGGAGTGCTGAGATAGCGTCTTTTGACACGTTTGCAAGTCATCTCGATAGAATCGCGACAAAATAAATCCGATAGCGGTCGGAAGGTTAACAAACACGCACGGGTCGCTATTTTTCGCGTGTTATCCAATTGGAGTTGTCTTCGGTTCTTAAGCTGATTGATAGAGGCCAAACAAAGTCGCATCGAATAAAATGCGAACGCGGTAACAACGGTCTTCTTGTTGTTCCAGGTTCAGCTGGTGTCCGCGCAACGAGCAGAATTAGAGAGGAGGTCCTTGGAGTTGCGGGAGGAGAGGGCGAGGGCGATGGCGGCACTCGAAGATGCCGAGGAGAGAGCAGCGGCCTTGGAGCGGCTCGGTCACGAGGCGGAACTCCGGGCGAAACTGGCCGAACGGGAGAGGTGAGTTCACGCGATTCAATGCCTGCTCGCTTAATATTTTCAGATAACCCACCGTCGATTCGCGATAACTCGCCAAACGCCCATACGAGACTTTTCCATCCCGCACGGGACGGACAAGGATTGGTTCCTTTTCTTGTCGTAACCGACAGTCGCCATTAATGACCACACGAGACTATGTAAAAGTTACAGATTTGAGCTACTACGTTAAGTCTTAAAGAGTTAATACATTGCCAATCTAACGAGAAATATATGGTCCAAAGTAATCAACTCTCGCCCATACGGGACACTCTCTTGGCAAGATCGAGCCAAACGTGGTTCAACCTCGGCGGTCACGAGAACTTACGATGTCGATCACTGTACCCACGCGCGGAAAGTCGATCTGGCGCAAGGCGATCGAGGAGAACCGAGAAACGGAATGGATTTCCAGTCGCGTGGCATTCAGCCGCGATCGGCTACTCTAGCGAGCCCAGTAATCGCGCCCCGCCTGTTTGCTTTAGTCCAAAGAATGATCGTGTTCTAAATTCGGTAGCCAATGCGTTGCGCAAACGTCTGTTATTCGTTGATCAAACTATCCGCGCTGGATGTCTTGCCCTGTCGTTGCTATTTTTTCTCTCTATCTGTTCTTTGTAAAGGTACGTGTCTACGAGTTCAACCCCGTTTACGAAGGGGTCAAACCAAGCCATCGTTTTACTATTTTCATCGGATCATTTATCTTGACGTACTTAAATTCGTTTCGATTCGCAGGGACGAGCTAACGGCGACGTTGGCGGTCATCGAGGAAGGAAGAAGAGGTAGATCGAACTCGATACAAAAACCCCCGAGGTCCCTGCTGGTCGAGATGGAATGCGAGGAAAACGGAAGCTCGCTGGGGGAGCAGGACGACCTACGCTCCGAGGTGGCCAGGGCGATGAAGCGTTTGAAGGAGCTGTGCGTTCACCTGAGACGAGGGGAAGACGACTCGGGGCTGCAGAGCGACTGCGACGAGTCCATGCTCGTGATCGTGAACAACACCGCGGATGCAGAGGAGGTGACCACCAACGGGCAGGAGACCCTCCCGAGCTCGGTAAGGGTCTCGCGTAACTCGCCGCTTTTGTTCACCGATTTCCGGTTTCCGATGATCCTAGACGCGCACCGGGCCACTCGAGCGCCCACCAGATCTCGACGAACGTGGTCGGGCTACCGATCGGTGCCAAGAGATCGTAGATTGCGAATCGAGCGTGACTGGTTTTTTTTTCGAGCCACCGTCTACCGTTGCGCTTTGCTGCAGGATGTTTGGCGACCGGTTTCGGCGTGAAAAGAATCGTAGCACCTTGCCCAGCGTCAAAGCTGTTGGTTTCGGTCGACTAACGAATATCGATGCACGTGGAATGTCCTTTCTCCAAAGTTCGTACGATGCAGTCTGGAGAGTCATAAAATTGCTTTCGATAAACCACGTTGTACATTGTTTGATAACAATAAGAACAGAGTCGACGAACCTCCGAGCGATTTGTAGCGTTTTAACAAATTCTTTAATCTGTTCTTTACAGGCAAACTGTCCTGGTGCTTTGCTGGACCTCGTAGAGGACGTCTATAATTTAGCCATGTCCGGAAGGGGAGCTCCTGGAGAATTAGGTCTAGCGGTGGAGCTCCACAGGGTACGCGAGGAGCTGGAGCAAGCTAAGGAACAACAGAAGCAGACTCAGGAAGAGCTGAAGAGACGCGGAGAGCTTCTGCTCGACACGACGAGTAAGCTGAGCGTGTGCGAGGCCGAGTTGCGCGGCGTGAAAGAGGAACGTGACAGAGCTCGCGGCGACATGGAGCACTCGCAGCTGACCAAGGACGAGGTCCTGGCCCAGGCTTATAAAGTCAGGGATCAAGCGGTGGCTAGAAAGAACAGGGCCGAGGTGGAGCTAGCTAGGACGAGGATAGACGTTCTCCAGGCTAACAGCCAACTGATGGAAGCCATCCAGCAAAAGGTCGAGCTTAGTCAGCAGCTCGAGCAGTGGCAGATGGACATGCAGTCCCTGTTGGACGAACACGTGCGAAGCAAGCTAACGCCCCTCGCGAACGCCATCAGCACCTTAAACCCCGACAACGGGGAAATCGTTCCTCCGGCGAGGAAGAAGCGGAGCAGTAGCGCGTCGAAGAAGATGTTCGGTTTCTTTTGACGAAAATGAATGTCCTCGTGGCGTGAAACGAAATGAAATGGACACCGGTGCACGGTGAGAGACGAAGACTGGCGCTCGAAGGACCTAGGTTTCTTCCTGCGTCTACGTCGCGACGTCGACGTAATTGGGGACCATTTGACCTCGCGGTCGCGTTCAGGGACTGCCGATTCGAATTCGAGGAGTCGCGACATTTTCAAAGATGCGCGATATTTTCGGGGGCACCTCGATAAAATTCTCGACGGTAGATTTTTGGTGTTTCAATCGCGTGGAGAGTCGCGGAGTGTGCAGTCCATTCCGACGTGCTGGGGTCTGAAGCGAGGAAAGAGATTTCTTCTCTAATGCGAGACGAATGCATCTAGGAAGGAAAGCGAAGAGTAAATCGGTCAGCTCGAGCCTTCGAAGCGGTTGGTTGTAGCGAAACGTACCTAAGCGCTTGTTTTCCCTTCGCGCTGATGTTTGAAGAGCGACTGGTCATTCCGGTAATCGCGGTACGGGCTCGTTACCTTTGCAAGAACGATCTCTAAGTAGCGTCAACTCGTAAAGATCTCTTCTGGTTCGCGGGTTCAAACTTGCTAGTATCGCGAGTGATGCGTTTGAGAGAAACTGACGGACATGCCGATTGTTTTTCTGTTATCTGGCGAGATTCGAGGCGGCCCGAAGGAAGTCGTGGGGCTGCAAATCCAACGCCGTTTGTGATAGACCCGTGTCTTACGTTAGGTTTACGAGAAAGTGAAATTTTGTTATCGTTGATTGTGATATGGATATTTTATGACTGTTACGGTGAATTCAACGGTCGCATTTATGACGTTACGGCGCTATTGCCCGTCGCCGATGAACAGAAACTTGATTAGAAAAAAAGAATCGATCACATCGATTAAGCATGCACGAGAGAATGCTTTTGTTTTCGCGTTCTTGTATTTTTCGAATCTAAACGCGTAGGATCACTTCGGCGGTAGTCGAACGAATTAGTTACTTCCAAATTTTAGTCATGGATTTATCGTTTATTTATGTGTTATTTATTTTGTAAAAAAATCCGAACTGTTAATAATCATATTAATTTTTATTCTTTCATACTTTGCTATTAGCTTTTATGTTAACGAGAAATTTTGAGAAAGTTATCAGTTGGATGTCGGTGGACTACCGACGAAGCGATCCTAATAGCTACTGGAGTCTTTGAAACGTAACTACTAACATCCGTCCATCCGTTCAAGCGGACCAGAAAACTGTTGCGCCGATGGGAGTTGTAAAAAGATGAAAACGTTACGGCTGGCGGTGAAAGTTGATCGATTCAGCCGCGACCCTACGCCCTTTTACACGCCAGTGCAATAACGCTAGAGAAAATGTTATGCGCGGGTCGCGGTTGCCGACCGCGACGATATTTCGCTCGGCGTTCAATTTTCATTCCAGTCCGAAACGGTTAGCTTTAATTAACGATCGCTGTGTTAAGTAATACCAGAGCGGTTGCACGCGGATCGGTAACGCGCGCACGTAGCGTCTTTTGTACATTAGTAGCTGTATGATTCCCGAGCTGAGCAATTGTGACAACATAGGTATTTATTTAATAAAAAGTCTGTTTTACGAAGGAAACACCTGATCCGATGTTCAAGAAGTTTGGGACTTGAATAAAAACGAGCTTGAAAAGAAACAAATAGGCATTTATTCACAAGAGGCAGGTGTAGTTACAGTAGTTTCATTCTGTCGCTTTTATATATATATATATATTTATATGTATATTAAATATTATATATATATATATATTTAATATATAATATGAAATATAATATATATATATATATAATAGTATCTCACGTCCGTTATAATTATCGATCGGTCCAACTACGCAATATAAATGGGCATGAACAATGGGGGAGGGGGCGGGTGCATACAAAGTGTTTGTTTGTCCTTTCGTACATTCTAAAAACGACAGGTCCGCGACGTCCTTACGAAACGCCACGCTAGGATTATACATTTCTCCTCGCTCGTTAGAATTTGTTTCTCGTCTCGTGGGTACGCGCAGCAAGATTCTATCCCGAAGGGGCCACAGGGCTGGGCAAATGTCATTCGAACAATAAACGCGACGAAAATTGAGGTTCATCTTTTACTCGTAATTAGAAATTTTTATCTAGATTAGTACAATCTGGATACAAATTTCGAATAACGAGTAAAAGATAAACAGTTTTCTATTCGTTTTCGTTCGAATAGAAATCGAAACTTCAAAGATAGAATGAGAATTATATATATATATATATATATTGTATTGTTTCTTTTTCTGCCCATCTCTGAAAGGAGAACGAAAAAGATTCTCCGTTTCCGAATAGAATCCAGTTGACTTCCTCCCAGCAACGACGTTCCGATATTCATGACGTCGACTAAAAATCGAACGTTTATCGTTCCCCATACATTTTACAGTCGTCGATCGCGCGACTCATTGAAGGCGATCGTCACGCGAGCATTGTTTCCTCTCCTTCTCCTTTTTTTTTTTTTTATATCCTCGTTAATCGGTGTAGTCGACGGTAACAATATTTATTTAGAATATTTTATATTAATACGCGACAAGACGACACGACAGCGACTTGTTCCATTTGTTTCCCTCGTTCGTTCTCCGTCTCGTCGACGCGACACTGATCGCGACAACAATAGAATTAACAATGATGAATGCGTGAGATCGGTGATGATCCGGTTTCGATGACGATTAATCGTGACGAGGTACGCGAAAAGTTTTATTTTCCATTTCTCGATTCATAGAAACGATCGAGTCGAGTATTATTTAATTGCCATAAGGTATAGAGAGGTACGTTATTCCTTTTTTTTTTTTTTTGAAGATAGAGTGATAGAGACAGAGAGAGAGAGAGAGAGAGAGAGAGAGAGAGAGAGAGAGAGAGAGCATCGTGAAGCATCGTGTTTGTGCAGAACAACTCTTCTATCAGTAGATCGCATTTTTTTTTTTCATTAAGGATATTACATGTCACAGTAAATATAGTTAGGTTTGCTCTATTCTATGTCAGTTACAAGTGGCTTCCCTTCTCCTTTACCCTCTTTCATCTCTTTTAACCCCGCTGATTGGTAGCTTCGTTTTTTCTTTTATCGATACTCTCGTGTCCCTCCCGGCGATGTGTCAACGCCTACATTTAAGGAGACAATTAAGCTATGCGCAATTCGTGAGTGTATGTGTGCTAGTGTGTCTGTTCTCTCCATATGTGTGTGTACATGTTTGGATGTGTGTTTTTAGCGTACGCCCGAGCGTGTGTCGTCGCTCAAGACGACGGTGCAACGATGCGTCTCGTCTCCTGAAGAAGTCTTTCTCGTTAGTCTCTTATATTTCTACACAAATGTATATAATATTTACATTCACGACCAAAGATGGGCAAAATTTTATTCGAATAACAAACGACGAATTAAAACACCGTACAGCGATTTATTCGCGGCGTTCGTTCAATGGAATAGTGTCTTCGGATAACTTTTCTTTTTTTTTTTTTCTTTTTATTTGTTCAACATGCAATATAATTTCAATCATATTCAATATTAGTTTTTATCGAACGGATGACGCATCAGAAGTTGTTTACTATTTACTCGTTATTCGAAATGTTTGTCCAGATTAAGAATTTTGCCCATTCGTGATCACACGCCTTGAGGCTGTCGCATGCCACCCCTGATCGCTCTCGTTCGACCTGACGTTGATATAAATTCAAATATACGTATATTATCAAAGCAAGATATCGCGTCAACGATGATATCGATAGCAGAGGAAACGTCGGCTTGGGTGACCGTTCGTGTGAAACTGGCATTCGAGCGTGGGTCGCATGGGAGGCCTCGTCGCGCGACGTTTTGTTAATTTATTGTTCGTGACACGGTTCTCAAGCCTACCCGCGTTGAGATTGAGACTGACCAGATATAAACGGAGGGAACAGAAAAAAGTTACAGGTGAAAGGAAATCCGAAGCGGCGGATCGAAAGGAAATTTCCCCATGCGACGTTCGGTTGTCCTCGAGGACGTTCCCTTTCGAGATATGCAGGCGGTCCTCGTTTAAATGTTACTGGCGCCACTCAGGACTTGGGCCACTTCCGGTGTCGAATAGCCTTTACACGCGGTAAGTCTGCATAGCATTCAGCCATAGGGACGAGGCGTTTACTCGTGGTAAAAGGCGGCTGATCCTCGTAACGCGTATTTATGTACAAATAATGATCCATCTTCGCCGCACTATCTTCGGCTACATCCACATCTAGATACAATCTCTCTCGCGAGAGGATTACCTCTTCGAGCACCTAACCCCAAGCACACAAGGTCCTTTTACCCTCTCACACGCACGCTCACTCCATTCAAGTTCGCCTACCTTTCGCCACTCTTCTTATTTAAACGCTACATAGAAATATCTCTTCGTTCTGGGTCCCGCGCAACTTTGTATCTTTCGCAATGACGATGGCTCCCACGACGCGACCGTCCTCTTGTGGACGAGGATCTGCTGCGAGCGAGAGACCCCCCTCCCCCACGGAGAACCCTTGATGCTGCGTTCTAATAGCTCTTTTGCTGATACCTTGTTGCCTAAACGACCTGTTCGAAAGCGTTGGCATCGCGATTACAGTCAAGACGTATGATTTTGACCGCTCGAGGTCACTTCTCTTGACGAGAAACCCTCCACTTCTACAATTTCCAGTACCTTCTCTATCATCCAAACACTTTTCGGTGATCCTCTGTGAAGTAGAATTCGTCCTTGAGCGGCCAAAGTCTTTTGCTTCCACCCAAAAGCCTCGGCATCGACGCGAATCCTTGAGGACAATGGTAGCCGTTTACGTCAACAGTCGTTCCAATCAGTTGCAAAATAGGTATGACATCGATTAGCTACTATCGTACGAAAATAATCGGGGATCGGACGAATCGTCTTCGTTTCTCTGTACAACTTGCGTTGATCGCTGCAAAACATCAGCGTGCAAACTGCTTGGAGAGCAGAAATGGATAGAACTTTGTTCGAATCAAATTTGAATATTTGCATTCTCGAACGAAGAACGCTACACGATTCTGCTCATCTCTGCCGGGGAGCTACCGATAGAAAACCAAGGGGAGGGAAAACGGTGCGCGATGATGATTCACTGGTTGATTCCTAAGCGATCGATCGACGTTAGGCATATCGGCGAGCATTTGGAGAATAATGTCGCGGGCGACTATGCTTCGCGAACAAGTTAGTCTCTTCCCAGTACTCTGTACTCGTTAAAAGTTGCAACATCAGCGTGATAGCGTTCAGCGTCGATTAATTTCAACGATTCGTTACACCTTTGAGCAACGATCAAGGTAATAATCGTTTGCATAGACATTAGCTATTATTGCACGGCGATTGTGCGCACGATAATATTGTATTATTGCGTGTCAAGATCGTTACTAGTTCTTTCATCTCTAGATCCCTCCTTCCCCATGGATTCGAAGGACGGTCGCGCTAACATTTCGTCGTATTATATATCCCCTTTGTTTCGCAAGGTGCAAGCTCTTCTATAGTTCGCCATAAAAAATAAACTCCTATTACCTGCCTGTCCGTCGTCTATGTGTGTCTATGTGTGTGTGTGTGTATGCGTGTGTGATGTCTTGTACGCTTGTGAACGTGTTCTGTCGCGTGGATATCTCTCTATGCGTGTCATCTACAAATTACGTGTCGCGTGTTAGGTTCGTGTGGGCTGGTCATCCTCGTCTCGCTTCTCTAATCTGTACACCCGAGAAATACACACACGTTAAGTTATACATTTAAGCTCCCTATAGCTTTTTGTTACTTCTGTTTCATGCTTAATCATCGAATGCCGCGTGGATACGCTAAGAACGCTACATCAATCATTCCGAAACACTGGCACACCGTTCCCCTTTCATTCCTCCTGAATCTTCCCTTCGCAATCCAGCGAATCTACTAGATTTAGCGCGATAATTACCACCCCGTATATACAAATTCGCTTCTTTGCTATATTATTCCTCTCTTTCGCAAGGGACGCTCCGTCCGTCCCGACCGTTCGCCATTCCGCGGCTAGCTCCTTCCGGAGGCTACCGAACGGTGGTACGAGTTCGTCGAAGCGGACGCTACGATCCTGGACGAGTAATCGTGCTTCCGATCTCGTGGCCGTTCCCTCGTCATTATATTTTTTATCTTTTCATTTTTGTCGGACACTGCGTTTAACATACATAACATCATATCGACACACGTAAGCGTAGTCCACTATAGCTGTGGTGATTAGTATAGCACTCTGCAGAATTCACGATTCAGTCGTTAACCGGTAAGAATTGAATCTCTCTTAGTTTCTCCGTTTCTTTGACCCAGGTTTCGGGTAGCCGCACGGTCCAATCCCAGCTTTAAGGATTGCTCTCCCAACGGGCGAGCTGAATACGCCGGTTGTCCAGAGAGGGCGATAGGAGCGACCTCAGAGACGCGCTGGGTGGTGATCCGCTAAAGTATTTCAAGGTCATGGGCGACTGCAGATGTCTGTGTCTGATCACCTCTCGCTCAGCAGGCAGCGGCCACAGTTCCTGCGCAACCGGCGAACACATCGACTAGAACACAGGTGGTTCTGCTCGAATTGGCGACGGTATCGTGGGTCGAAGAGGTCATCGTGAACTCGTCGGTACTCTTGGACGCGACGGTAGGCTGATTTGGGTGATTACATGCGCATGAATTTTTACGCGAGGACGATCGACTGTGCTTCGACGAGTACACTATGATTCTTCAACCCCTAACACGTGGACCTCGAGAACTGTACTTAATGATTCTCATCGTGCTGCCGAATTTCTCTTGTATACTTTAACGGCTGAGCGTGATCATTTACCTGCAGCGAGAGAGCCTCGTCTCAGGACTCACCCTGCTTATTTCTACGTCCAGTCAGAGAGCCAACCAGCGATTTCAGGGTGGCGCCGAGACCCCTACCGCTGGGAGTGTTCAGGCTGCTGGCGCTTCTGAAGCCCTGCGGGTGTGCGTCTAAACATTTCTGGTACCTCAACTGCGCAGACAAACGGACAGAATTAAATTGTGACTTTGGTCTAACGTCTTGCGAATAGAGAACCGGCGACTAGTTCAGTGTTTCCAAACTTTCTTCTGGCTCGCAGCTTCCTGCAGAGTTTTACCTCAGACAACCCCTGAACTAGCCAACTAGTACTAGTTACCCTACCTAACAAATTAATTACCTTGCAGGCGGCTTCGATGGTTTTGCAAAGGGCGCCGCTGCTGGGCTCGCAGTTGAAGACGTGTGCGATGAAGAGATCTTGCGCGGTGTGCATTATGAAAGCGCACTGTTTCACGTTCTGACCGATACCCAAGAATGACAAGTAACGTACTCGACATTCGGTGATCAGCTTGTCCTCCTGTAAGGTATGCCAATTGAGAAAAGAATTTAGAACCGATGATAGAAGGGTCTCTCGGTCCACTTACGTTTGGTGTAAGGATGGAAATCATGCTGGGCGCGACAGCGACGTTCACGTTTCGCCATTGATTGATAGGCGTGTTGGTTACGATATGATCTATCGCGTCGTTCAGGACCTCCATACCGGTCGCCTGTGAAACCTGCATGGATCCAAGATATTGCGCTCGCAGCACCTTCTTCGGTTCTTCCATAGGCGTAGGAAACGATTGCGCTGAGGAGCAAGTTAAAAACGGTTAACCGAATATACGTTTCCATAACGAATCTACTTCTAACTAGATCCCGCTCGACTACTCACTGACTAGTGCTTGTCCGTTTCTATGAAAACGTCGATGTTCCGTGGGCAAGTTGGTGGGTCTCGTGGCCAGACTCGTTCGCCCGTTGACGTCCACCGGTTTCGCGAGATTCTGGTGCTGCGATCGCTCGATCATGATCTTCTTGCAAATGTCTCGAAGCGTGTTCGCGATCGTGCGCGCCGGTATGTCGCAACGGAACACGTGGCACATGTGTTTCCGGGTCGATCGGTCTCTCGCCACGTAAGCAAAGTCCCTGAGAAAGAAGTTTCATGGATACTTTAGCGTTAAGTCGATCTATAAGTGCGTGCCGTTTTATTTTCAACGGAAGTTTGCCTCGAAAGGAATAATCGAAAGCTGTATTATAAAGGAGAAAGAAATAACATTTTTCATGGTAAAGTTCCGCGAAGCGGCACGAACTTAGGTATCAACTTAATGCATCGCAAAGGCTGAACAAACGTCAACATTCGCAGTGTTTGACCAGTGAAATTACCTTTCGCTGTGGAGGCCGTCCAGGAGGGCGAGTCATGAAAGGAATGATAGATATGTTATCGAAAGCAATTCAATCTTTTCGAAAAGGCTTTTAAACATTCAAAGTCACTTACCGGCAGTGATCTCTGCCAACACCCCACACCCTGACTGTGTGAATCGGTTGTGTGTTGAGGACGGTGAGGTTCTCCGGGTCTATCAGCTTCAAAGCGCCTTCGTCCAGATCCATGAACAGGTCTTTGCCCTGGAAAGAGACAAATTCCACGTGTACAATTTTATTTTCCTAACAAAGTTACTTGAATCGAATATCCAGTCGATACTGACGTCGCCCCATCGTCCAACGACGTCCAGGAGATCGTTTCTGCCGAGGGACAAGTCCACGATGCATTTATTGACAGCCTTGCTGCTCCTTTCGGGCGTCAGATCCTCTTCAGCGATTTCTGTCCATCCAAGGGAGCGCACGGCGAATCTGATCGGCTTGTCTCTGCCTTCGGAGTCTGCTCTTGCTGGGTAGCTCCTTCGCCTGTTATTATTATTAATGTTAAATCTGTACAACGTAGAGAAATAACCGTTAAAGAAACTGGAATCTTACTTGAGAGCCAGTTCCACTTTTCTTTTGTTCTCCAGCTCCTGATCCAGAGCGGAACTCGTGTTGCTGCGGGTCACGGTGTTCACCATACCGGTCAGAGTGTGGAAATTGTTTATCTGCAGAAATTTCGTTCGTGAGCACACGAAATATTCATTCTATCGTTCTTTCGTTCTACTCACGCTGTCGTTGTCTTTGATGAGGCTCCTGCGAGACTCCCTCTTGGAGTGCGGCGGGGCTTCCGGAGGTTCCCTCTGTATGTTGCCGCTTTTCACGTGCCAATAATAGGGACCATTTTCGTCTGAAAGAGAATTCGATCGTTCATCGACTTCGCGAGACTCGATACTCTCTGATTGACCAAAGATTACACGGGTTATATTTTACTTTTATTCTCATTGCATTTCGTTACATCTTAAAGTTTTTGCACGGGGCTTAGAGAGATTGATACTGCTTCATTCCCTATAACTTCGACAAAATAAATAGTAAGTTGGAAATCGTCGATGAAAAGAGGATTCGCGAGTAATTTAAGATGGGGAAGGCTTGTGCGAGCCACCCTGTATATCGCCGGCTCGATTCGTCGATACCCACCCTCGTGTTTTTGCCATCCAGGTGGCAGATTCTCGTCTTTGTCCTCGGAGTCGGTGGAATCCACCTCCGACGGCTTCTCCTGGGCATTGTTCTGCTGAGTGGCATTGTTCTTTTGATCCTTGGGCTGCCTTCGTTTCACAGGGACCGCGTACAATTCGCTGTTCAGTCCACCCTCGACGCGCGGAACGCCGCCCATCTCTGTCGTCTCGTTATCCGGTTTCTCGCAGTAACTGTAATATCCAGGGCACGAAATTATCGCGACGCGTCCCGAAATCTCTCGTCACGATCCTTACAATGATCGTTGATAGTACTTAACTCTTAGACGACCTCGCGATTTTGTTCCACGCCAAGTATACAATGGACTTTATAATGGACCCCAACGAATGACACCGCGCGCTGAGAGTTCCTTCAGCGAACGACATTAGTATCAACGCGTTTACTAGTTATGCGAACGCACAGAGAGATTGGGTCCCCGATGGACTCTAGCGTGGTCGTCTACGAGTTAACAAGTTTCGTCGCAAACCTGGAGATTCGTAGCTACTTGTGTAAAAGCAGTAGGTCATACTAGAGTTAAATAGAACGCGAAGGACGAACGCGTCGAGCAAGCACTATTCATCGCGACGTCGCTCGACGTCGATCAGAGAAGCCTCGCGCGTCCTCGTTGTCGTTAACATTTACTTATCGTCGTTGACGACGCATCGAGCATGACAAATCGGTTCTAACGCGTGTACTTGGCTCCATCGAAGTGGCTCGTAAAGTTTTATCGATCACGCGTCGACGTGCATCGACAGTGACGAATCGTATTCGTTCCCTGATTGAGCCTCATAGAGACTATTTACTGGCGCATCTATCGCGACAGAGATGGGCAAAATAATAGATAATAATAGGTAACTTGATAAAGGCAGCGTACGGCAATTTATTCGAGCGAGCTGTCTTTTCCGTCGTTATCCGGATAAGAATTTTGTCCATCTCTGGTTCGTGAGCATCGTGCCAAGCGAGAGAGAAAGAGAGAGCAGAAATCGCTAGGTGATATCAAGTTTGCATGGCGAAACTAGCAGCCAGTAATACTCCAAATTATATTGTCTACGCGGATGGATAACAAGTTCTACTCGAAAATCGTACAAAAAGCAGTGCATCGTCAGCGAAACGTTTCTAGGATGGTTCTACTTTGGAAGGCGTCGATTCCGAGTATGATCGACCAGCGGAATAAAATCTTTTCTTCCAAGCGCCTACTCTCTGACGTCAAAGGCGCGGCTGAAAGATCGACGTACACCCGAGATAAGTCAGTTTTACTTTCTAATGCGAGCACCGTGAAGAGACGGGTCTACCAGAAAGCGGAGAATCTTTATTCGACCTTTTTCGACGAAAGGGAAAAAGTCAGTCTGTGGTACAGCCACGAGAAAAATTCAATTTTTCCTTTTTACAATTGATTAAAGTCGGAAGCTGAACTCTCGCGTGTGCTCGAGCATCGTGTGACAAACAAGCTTTAATTTTGTCGGTCGTTTCAGCAAAGATTTGACTATATATTCGTTTTGTAAGCAACAACAATTTTCAACTAGGTGCACGAAACCCTTTAACATCGCAACTTCCGAACTTGCGATCTTTAGGTCTCGCGTTCATCTCGCTCCGCGTTTTTCTTATTCCACGTTCGTGTCTTTAGGCGGTGTTCTGATTGAATCAGAAGACAAACAACGGTATCGTAAACGTTTGAACAAACGCGCGGTTTCGCGTACTATCGAGCAACCGTCTCGTACGAAACCTTCGCAACTGCATGCAATCCTCGACGCGTCCGCGGCCACAACTTTACAATACTGCGGTACGGGACGGGGGAAGGGGTGGTACAAAGATAAGCAACAACAACTCGAGTTTCCTACGGAGCAGCTTCGCGGCAGCGAGGAGCAACGATCGCCTACAAAAGCACGCGATTAGAGAGACAGGAGATACTGGTCTGCGCTCGTTAAATCAGTCGAGGGGGCGATAACGCCCCAACGGTTAGTTACAACGGTAATAGCAACAATAGCAACAACAACAATAACAAATATGTGAAGCAACAACTGTTAGACAAAACGGTGCAACCATCCGGAGCAAGGATCGGCAAACTTGTTCTTGGGTCGATTCGTAGATGTTTTAGACTTTACTTGTATCTATATTTATTTCTCCTATTTGAAAATCATAGTTTGCTTTGACGTTACGAGTACAATTTTTTCTACGTGGGAATCCTGCGATCAAAAAAGGAAACCTGAAAGCAACACATGCAACGATCTTATCCAGTGAAATAAAGTTGCTTTATTGTATTTAAATTTATTTAAAAACCACGAGGTGTATTCGATCCAAAGATCGAACGTGGTCTACAGTTTGCCGACCCCTGGTTCAGAGGAGGGTACGAACCGAGACTCTGTGGTCGTACGTACTTTCTCGACCCGGACAGTTCTGTAGCGTCGATCGAGTCCGCGGGTCCTGACTGAAGGGGAGGCAGAATCGAGGAGGAAGACGACGGCGACGACGACCGAGGATTTCCGTTGAGGGTGTCGTCGACCAGAGCGGACTCTGCAACACCCTCGCTGCCGTACCTGAATCAGCACGTCACCCAACACGCATTACAAAGAGAATCGATTGCTGATGACCGTCGTCACTTCGCCCCGTCACGATGGAATCGCAGTCGATTAGGCGCGCTCTCTGTGTCTACTCCAGGCGCGATTGCAGATTAAACCGTGATGGAATCTCCATTACCCGAACCGCTGAATCTTTCGTTACACGAACCTCCTATCTCAAGTATGACGAGATACCAGAGCAATAGAATAGAGCAACTCGAAGCTCTTTGAAAAGCACGAAATATAAAAGAACGATGGCACGAGACCATCGAGAGTTTTTCAACACTTGTGGCTTGCCAGTAGTTCGGATAACGAAGATTCTGCTATATTAAGATTGAGCCGATCGATCCTCAAACCGTGACGAAGGATAGATTTCCTTCTCGGCGATAGTTTATTTCGTATTATTAGATTGATGTATTGCTATGAATATTTAACCAGCGCCGTGCGTAGCACGTTGCTCGAAATAGCAGTATTTACATTATCATATTGATGCGACAATTATAAAGTCATGAAACTGGGGCAATAATGATCTGAAAGGATAACTGCTCGCTGGTTGCGTTTTACATTATTAAATCGCGATTTATGCGTTTCAGCCGTATGTCCGACATTTGTATAGTCCAAGTTTCGTAGAATTTGTAACGAGCTCGAAAGGTAATCACGCCAACACGCGATAGGTTCCATCTCGTATTCTATACGTGAATCTTGTAGAACTTCGTGCTTAAGAATAGAGAAACCCTTTCGTGCGTCCAGCTAGATGGAATCGTGTGTTGTCTACAGTTTGTTTCTATCGAAGGGATTGCTGTTTCATGGAAAATATCGACAGCGATTCCAAGAATATGGCGTCCATCTCTGCGGACTGAAAACTATCGCAATATATCCACGATACAAAAATTCAATTTCCCCCGAACATTCTCGAAAGAGCTGCGAGAGTTTCGCCGGGAGGACTTCCTGGAAATCGATGTCATTTTCCCAGAATTGCTCGAACGTCCCTCCACTCTTTCGTCCGCGTCATCCAAAAAAATTCGATTTGCTTGCAAAATTTACAAACCACGAGATTCCTTTCGAACGACGTCATAGTTCTGGGAATCTGCAGACATTCGCGTCATCCCCCGCTAATATCGTATATCCCTAACGCAAACCCTGAAATTCCCGGAAATTCCCTGGGAAAATTTCCCAAGTTTTCTGATTACACGGTTTCCCGGGGAGCGATGTCAACGCTCCAGGAATTCGTGAGAATTCTCCTCGTCTCCGTTACCGTGTAATGCAACCCCTGATGCGTACTTTGAAATTCGTCGAAAGTTCTTACGCAAAACTCCGACATCCTCGAATCGCGAAATCTCGGGAGAACTACGGTCACAAATTCAGGGAGACCGGTTACAAAAGCACGATTGCATCTGACAGCTTCCATTTCTGGCTTTCGTTGCGCAAGTTCTGCGAAAGAAACGTCCCTCCCGATCGACCGTCTGGAAATAACCGCCGGAATATTAAAGTGAATTAAATAGGGAACGATCGATCAGCGAGCAGAAAGAACTCGAGTTTGAAAAATTTCGATCCCCCGAGCGTCACGTGCTTTCTTCGTTTGGCAAACGAACGGCGATAAACGAAGTTCCAGAAGCAAGAAGTCTGGAAGTCCTGGATACGAGCAAACAGCGAAGACGTTGTCGCCGATATAAATTTTGCGCCAAGCGAGTGCGGCGTTTAAAGACAAACTTAACAAACCGTCACGGCGGCGCAACGTGCAGCCGCCGTCGAAATTACGCGGCTGCAAGGAAGTGCCATTTTAATTAACGACCGGGGAACGGAGCCAGGCACCGACGTGGTTAGTACAGGGTCGCTAACCATGTCGAAGTAATTAAGGGATTAGCCGAGCGGTTTGCTGACTAACGCCCGGTTCGGTTCTCCTGAGCATCGTTCGGTCCAGTCTTTGAAAGGTTCTTTCGGAAGCCTAGAACGAGGAGCTTTCGATTCGCGATCACCCCTTGGAAACCTTATCAAAAAATTCGCCGATGACGAGCGGACTCTGACAGGGAGTCCTTGTCCTCCTCGTGTGATTTATAACCGTTCGTTGTTCAAGAAATTCTGCAGCGTCATAGCGTTCTCTTTGTGGAGACTAGTAGCTCGGGGAAAAAGAAGATGGGAGCCATTGATCCTTGCACAGGTAGTGGATCGATTCCAGCAAGAACGACCGTGAAGGATTATGAAGGATCCTCGGAGGTCAATTACATCCTATCCGCAGTCTTGGGCGTTGTCGACCTCTTCCGATGGGATTCTAGAAAAATTTATAGTCGCAAGGATTGTCTCCGAAGAACTTACCGATGTAAAATATGTGGATTATTGATCCCAGGGCTCGTTAGACCAAGAAATTTCATACAGACGTATATTATTCAGGCCCTGACAGTTCATAAAGATTCATGGGAAACTTGTTTCGCATTCTCGTGCTGGGGACCCTGCTCAATTATGCCTGTGATGTTGTGTGTACAAGCGCATCGTTCGCTGGAGGACATATTTGTCTTCCAAACAAGGAGATTCAATTAGACAACGTCTTGACGTCGACGAGAGTTGTTACCAGAAGTCGATGGGTTATTAATTCACCGCGTACCACGGATACGAGGAAAGGAAAAGACAGATTATTCGGAAGGGATTCCTGATTGCTTTTGACAGCTGGAAACTCGATCCTTTATCCAGGCCCTTGTCCCCGAGCCGAACGACACGAATCCCTCTTCTCCCTCGAGTTGAATCATATTTTAAGATGACTAGAGGACTGTCAGGGTCTTCGCCCCGTCGATATTAAATTTCACAGCGAGCGGAATCACAGCGATACGTCACGATGTCCGTCAAGCGATGAAACTGCACCGTGTACCGAGAACAACGAAAGGCGATGACGTGTTTCGCGCTGAACCAGAGCCGTCCTTAGGCAAACGTGCATACGCTCGTCCAGACAGACGGTAAACTTACGTTTACCGTGCTGTTGTTCGCTGAACAGAACGGTTACCTTGTTACACTAATGTCTGGTTAATTACCGGAGGCTTGGGACAGAGGACCCGACGGTTAACAAATGCATAGTAATAAGGATTCTTTAACTTTGTAATACTAAACGAAACTGATAATTACTTCTCGTAACGGACTCGATAATTTCTCGCTCGCGTCGCTAACTGGTCCACGGTATGCAGCATTTTCGCTGCAACGAATCAGAAGCGTAACTCATCAAAAGCGTAAGGTACTACCGTATCGAGAAGCTCCACGTGTTCCAGAAGCAATGAATGCTCGCGGAGCCCTGAAAAGAGCGACTGTTCCCGGTTATAAAAATGTTATCTCATCGCGATTCCGCTTTGACTGGAGCGTTCACCGTGTTGGAACGGTTCTCTTTGGGACGCGTGCCGACGTCTCGTGTTTTCATTTTGCAAGAAAGACTCCTTTTGAGAGGAGTTGGAAGCACCGAGAAGAACGACGCTGGAACGAGAGCAGAGTGGAGGAGACAGAGAAGAGTGGCGGTTCTTGGCGAAAACAGAGGAAAAGAGGCTAGGAACGCGAGAAGCGGGAGGAAGGCGCGAGGTTTCGCGCGGTCCAGTGCCGACAGCTTCATAACACCGTTTTCAGCAAATATGTGGGTTAGCAACGGCACGAGCAGAAGCTTGGAAATTCGCCAGAAGTCGCGGGGGAGGAAGGCACTGTGCATAAATGCGGTTGGACCGCGGACGCCGGATCGATCGATCCGAATACCTTCGCCAGGAATTTCTCTATTGATTATTGTCGTCGCGACAACTTTGGCGACGGTCGATTGTTCCTTTGCGCGAGGGGTCCCTTCCCTGGTATTGCCGATGGCGATAAACTTCACCAGTTAGAAAGGACCCGAGAGCAAAACTCCTTACAAATGCTCGAGACTAGAGTTTAAACGAAGACTCAAAGTACTTGCCTCGATGAAATGTAAAAAACCTTCGGGTGGAATCTGGCGCGGCTCTCAAGTCTAGATACTGGCCCTTAGAATATATGAAAGGATTACATTTTAATCCCGGACCGAACGTACATTTACGTTATACGACAAAGGCTGGTGCATCAGACTCGAGGAGGAATCAACTATGATGGATATTTGGAGCATCTGAAGGAAGGTGAAAGACGAAGATTTTTGTTGATTAAATCTGATTAGCCACTTGGAATATTTCATTTAGATAAGAGGAAGCATCCAATATTCGTGGAGCGAGGATGTGACGGTGCGTTTCTTCGTCGATGGATTAATTCCGATAACTCTCAGAGATTCTCCATCGATTATCTACAAGTTTCGATTATTCCCTTGCACCATTCCGTTTCGGTTGGTTGAACTGTTTCGCTATTCACAAACATCGCTCGAAGCGCGGAGACGCTTCGCTTCGGTAGCCAAGAACGTTTCCTCGGTTCTCTGCAAACTTAGCGCAACTTCCAGGCAATGTTTCGCGCGTTTAGATTCTGTTCCCGAGTCTCTTATTATGTTCTCGAGGCGTGCCTGTCAGAATGTAAGTCACGGAAATACGGCTTAGAGGTCCAAGAGGCACTGTGAACATTGCGCGAGCCGGGAGCGTAACAATATTTAGTTTCTTTTTCACGCGGAGAAACGTTGTTAGGATGGTTTCGACGTCGAAAATTTTAATCCAGGTCTCGTAAAGATTGACTGAATTGTCTGATCCAATGAAACCCGTAATTCATCCCAGCGCCTATCATCCTCCCCTGTGATACATTTACCCTTCCACGCCCGCGACAATTAGCGTCGCATGTAATTGTATTCGATAATCCAATGCAGCACACGTGGATGCTCGTTGATTCTCTAACAGAAGTTCAACATTCCATTTCGCTCGAGTACCATTAGGTTTCAGAATCAAGATCCGAGCTGATCAAAGCGAGAATTCAATTGCATTAAAGGACTGCCACGCTGATCGATTAAGCAACCTATTTGCCCTGTTTGCGATCAGCGCGAGAGGCTCGCGCCAAACGACCGATCGCTTATCCGG